TGAAACCTCACCTTCCCTTCTTCGATTGAAAATAATGACCTCACAAAGAGTCAAAACTGCCAGTTTAGACCAATGCTTAGACGTTGGCTCACTTATTAGGGTTTGCACATATTCAGGTCGACATACCTCAATATGTGCATGCATGGCTCTAACGTCCTCAGTCAGAGGGAGCAGGTCCGGAGTGTTCCACTTGGCTTGCCGGAGGGTCTGTAGGGCAGCAGAAGAAACACAGACGTCCCACCTCTTCTCAAAAAGCAGCCGGCTTCGTTGGAGGTTTTTAATAAATAGTTCATCAACACAATGCTCCATTTTTGAGTCACATTCAAGAATATCTGCTAGCTTTCTGAGGCTATGGCCGAGTTTGAGGGCCAAGGATGGAGTCTTGTATTGATTTGTTTCCTCATCATATCCAGCCACAGACCTGACTGCATCAATCACATGGTTAAAGTTGGAAGGAATAAAGAAATCCTTAATTGTTTTCAGTTTCCCTGCAGTTTTTGCTTCGTTAATTAACCTACCGACTTCTCTCATTTTCTGCCTAATGTAATCATGCTTAGTCTTATCATGCCCGTGTTTTAAGTACAGGTGCTCTCCGAGTCTCAGAATCCCCTTTTCTGCTTTGACAACACCCGTGACCTCATCCTGATGCATTACCGAAATTAAAGACCACAGCTTTTTGCTGATGCCCTCCGGTACAGGCTGGGCTAGGGAGCAGAGGGACTGGACCCTACTTCTACCTGGTTTAGCCTGGGCATCTTTCTGTGAAAGCCGGCACCTGGCCACATGCCTCCACAGCGACTTTCGCTTAAGCAATGCCCCACAGTCTATACAGTGCAAAAACTCACTGGATTTAACTGGGGAATTTGGCCGTTTAACTGGGACTAAAGTTCCAATGCCGGTCTTTAAAACCTCAAAATTGTGCTCACGGTTTCCACTATTCCTGATCGAATCAAACTGAAGTTTACGTGCTTTAGATTTCACAGGTAGAGCCAATGCTCTGGCTACGTCACTTTCATTTCCATGTTTTCTAGTCAAATGACGGGACATTTTGTGGCAGGACATTGAACAGTAGAGGCAGAAGTGTCTCTTGCTATAAACTCGCCCCCCACAGTTACACACACAGTTACACAGTTACACACACAGTTACACACAGTTACACACAGTTACACACACAGTTACACACATAGTTACACACACAGTTACACACACAGTTACACACACAGTTACACACATAGTTACACACACAGTTACACAGTTACACACACAGTTACACACAGTTACACACACAGTTATACACACAGTTACACACATAGTTACACACACAGTTACACACACAGTTACACACACAGTTACACACATAATTACGCACACTGTGTAAAACAGTTACTTCGAACAGTTACTTCGAACAGTTACTTCAAACAGTTACTTCAAACAGTTACTTCAAACAGTTACTTCCAACAGTTACTTCAAACAGTTACTTCAAACAGTTACTTCCAACAGTTACTTCAAACAGTCACTTCAAACAGTCACTTCCAACAGTTACTTCGAACAGTCACTTCAAACGGTTACTTCAAACGGTTACTTCAAACAGTTACTTCCAACAGTTACTTCGAACAGTCACTTCAAACAGTCACTTCAAACGGTTACTTCAAACAGTTACTTCCAACAGTTACTTCAAACAGTTACTTCAAACAGTTACTTCCAAGTTAACAGTTACTTCGAACAGTCACTTCAAACAGTCACTTCAAACAGTTACTTCCAACAGTTACTTCCAACAGTTACTTCAAACAGTTACTTCAAACAGTTACTTCCAACAGTTACTTCCAACAGTTACTTCGAATAGTTACTTCAAACAGTTACTTCAAACAGTTACTTCAAACAGTTACTTTCATCTGGTCCTAGTATTGAGTCTTTTCACAGAGTAGTTTTTATACTGTTTATAGTAATGTTTATACTGCTGCGTCTGAACGTTGCTTTCACTAAAACTCTACATGAAATAAAACTCTACGTGAAATAAAACTTACACTAAACACTAAAACTTTAGATGAGTTCAAACATAATGGTTTCTAAGTTTCTCTGAAGTGTTTGTCACTGATTCCAAACATCTGCAGCTGATTCTTTGAAACCAAAGTCCAAACAAACACCTCAGAGTTCTTAAAGATAAGTTAGAAATGTACATGTGACATCACAGATAGAATCACTCAGATTGTGTAAAAGACAGAAACATGTTAACGTTAAACATATATAATGTAACATAATATAACATACATATACATATATTATGTACAATAAACAGAGCCAAAGTGACTTAAAGTGACTTATTGTACAGTCTGACAGCGGTGGGGACAAAGGCCCTGCTCCTTCCTCCACTGAAGGAGCTCCTCAGCTCCTCCTGTCCCTCACCTCCTCCACAAAGTCCAGGGGCCTCCTGTCCCTCATCTCCTCCACAGAGTCCAGGGGCCTCCTGTCCCTCCTCTCCTTCTTGTACAGGGCATTGGTGTTATGGGACCAGTCCAGTTTATTGTTAATGTGAACACAGGTACTTGAAGCTGTCACCAGCTCATTGTCCTCCCCCAGCACAGGTACCATCTCCTTGGTCCTACTGGTGTTAGCACAGGTACCATCTCCTTGGTCTTACTGGTGTTAGCACAGGTACCATCTCCTTGGTCTTACTGGTGTTAGCACAGGTACCCTCTCCTTGGTCTTACTGGTGTTAGCACAGGTACCATCTCCTTGGTCTTACTGGTGTTAGCACAGGTACCATCTCCTTGGTCTTACTGGTGTTAGCACAGGTACCATCTCCTTGGTCTTACTGGTGTTAGCACAGGTACCATCTCCTTGGTCTTACTGGTGTTAGCACAGGTACCATCTCCTTGGTTTTACTGGTGTTAGCACAGGTACCACCTCCTTGGTCTTACTGGTGTTAGCACAGGTACCATCTCCTTGGTCTTACTGGTGTTAGCACAGGTACCATCTCCTTGGTTTTACTGGTGTTAGCACAGGTACCACCTCCTTGGTCTTAGTGGTGTTAGCACAGGTACCATCTCCTTGGTCTTACTGGTGTTAGCACAGGTACCCTCTCCTTGGTCTTACTGGTGTTAGCACAGGTACCATCTCCTTGGTCTTACTGGTGTTAGCACAGGTACCATCTCCTTGGTCTTACTGGTGTTAGCACAGGTACCATCTCCTTGGTCTTACTGGTGTTAGCACAGGTACCATCTCCTTGGTCTTACTGGTGTTAGCACAGGTACCATCTCCTTGGTCTTACTGGTGTTCAAGATCAAATATATTAAAGATAGAGTTCTGACTTTCTGTAATGTTTTCAGGTCTGATGATGTTTTAACTGTTGAGATCACAGTCTCTAACCCCTCACCTCCACCTTCACCTCCTCCTCTTACTCCTTCACCTTCACCTCCTCCTCCTCCTTCACCTCCTTCTCCTTCTTCACCTTCACCTTCTCCTTCTCACCTCTCCCTTCCCCTCCTCCTTCACATTCACCTCCTTCACCTGTTCCTATACCTCCTTCTCCTCCTACTCCTCCTCCACCTCCCCCTCCTCCACCTTTACTGTACCTCGCTCTGAGTTTGTTTAGTTTTATGGAGTCTTGTGTAACTCTTTCTGAGGCCTCTGGGCGTGGCACCAGGTCCCCACCCTCAGTATCTGACCAGGACCATGTGTGATCAGGACCATGTGTGACCAGGACCATGTGTGACCAGGACCATGTGTGAACCTTCTCTGTGTTCTCACAGAGACCAAAGTAATACAAGTTACATGATGACAAACCAGGTGGACGCCTTTGAGTGTGGGTCCACCTCCTCCACCTGGGTGCTGGATGGGTCAAATGCAGAGACACACTCCCCACAAACAGATAGTCTTTACTGAAGAACCAGGGGAACCAGATCGCATGGTCTGGACTCACATGGTTTGGATATTCTCTTTGGGGGAAAGTTTTAGTCTCAGAATGTGTTTTATTTTATGTGTGTGGGTTTATGTGGAACATTCCTGAGTAAACGATATGAGCAGCTTGTTTGGCACAAAATGGACAGAAAGAAGAAGGAGTATTAGAAGAGGTGCAGTTGTCTGACCGAAGTGTTACGTCCTCAGTGCAGTTGTTTGACCAAAGTGCTATGTCCTCAGTGCAGTTGTTTGACCAAAGTGCTACATCCTCAGTGCAGGTATCTGACCAAAGTGCTACGTCCTCAGTGCAGGTGTCTGACCAAAGTGCTACGTCCTCTTTGCAGGTGTCTGACCAAAGTGCTACATCCTCAGTGCAGTTGTTTGACCAAAGTGCTACGTCCTCAGTGCAGGTGTCTGACCAAAGTGCTACGTCCTCAGTGCAGTTGTTTGACCAAAGTGCTACATCCTCAGTGCAGGTGTCTGACCAAAGTGCTACGCCCTCAGTGCAGGTGTCTGACCAAAGTGCTATGTCCTCAGTGCAGTTGTTTGACCAAAGTGCTTCATCCTCAGTGCAGATGTCTGACCAAAGTACTACATCCTCAGTGCAGGTGTCTGACCAAAGTGCTACGTCCTCAGTGCAGTTGTTTGACCAAAGTGCTACATCCTCAGTACAGGTGTCTGACCAAAGTGCTACGTCCTCAGTGCAGGTGTCTGACCAAAGTGCTATGTCCTCAGTGCAGGTGTCTGACCAAAGTGCTACATCCTCAGTGCAGGTGTCTGACCAAAGTGCTACGTCCTCAGTGCAGGTGTCTGACCAAAGTGCTACATCCTCAGTACAGGTGTCTGACCAAAGTGCTAAATCCTCAGTGCAGGTGTCTGACCAAAGTGCTACGTCCTCAGTGCAGTTGTTTGACCAAAGTGCTACGTCCTCAGTGCAGGTGTTTGACCAAAGTGCTACGTCCTCAGTGCAGGTGTCTGACCAAAGTGCTACGTCCTCAGTGCAGGTGTCTGACCAAAGTGTTACATCCTCAGTGCAGTTGTTTGACCAAAGTGCTACGTCCTCAGTGCAGGTGTCTGATCAAAGTGCTACGTCCTCTCTGCAGGTGTCTGATCTCAAAGGCGGAGGTGCAGAGTTTCGTGCAGCGCTGTATGGAGGCTGTGGGTACGAAGCCGCATCACGCTCAGAGTTTGGCAGAAGTGTTGGTGGAGGGCGACCACCGGGGGCACTACAGCCACGGCCTCAACCGCATGGGTCTGTGTCACCTCCTCTGTGTCACATCCTCTCTGTCACCTCCTCTGTGTCACATCCTCTCTGTCACATCCTCTCTGTCACCTCCTCTGTGTCACCTCCTCTGTGTCACATCCTCTGTGTCACATCCTCTGTGTCACATCCTCTGAGTCACCTCCTCTCTGTCACATCCTCTCTGTCACATATCCTCTGTGTCACCTCCTCTGTGACACATCCTCTCTGTCCCCTCCTCTGTTCCAAGAGTTTTTAAAGAAGTTGGACGCAGATCATTTCAATATAAGGCTCCATCAGACTGGAATAAACTCCCCACATCCATAAGATCCATTCTGTCTGTTGGTTTATTTAAGTTTGAATTATTTAGGTTTCTTGAATCTCCTTGTTTATGTCACTAATGTTCTGTGTCATTATTGTTAATATTTTTACTTTTTTTTTTTTTTAATTTCAGCAGAGGGGAGGAGTGGGGTGCGATGGAGCATTTGTTTTGTTATATTTTGTTGTTGTTTGTTTTGTTTGTCTTTGTGTGTGTTTAATTAACTTTTCTCATCTTTAATTCGCTGTAAATTGCTTTTTGTGTATGTGTGTTTGTTTATATGTTTGTATTTATGTTTAGGACCCCCTCGAAAATGAGATGATTCATCTCAAGGGGCTTTCCTTAATAAACTTAAACTAAACTTAAACTCTGTGTCACATCCTCTGTGTCACATCCTCTGTGTCACCTCCTCTGTGTCACATCCTCTCTGTCACATATCCTCTCTGTCACATATCCTCTCTGTCACATCCTCTGTGTCACATCCTCTGTGTCACATCCTCTGTGTCACATCCTCTCTGTCACATCCTCTGTGTCACATCTTCTGTCATCCTCTCTGTCATGCACTCTGTCATCCTCTGTGCTCCTCCTGTCTCAGTGCCTTCCTCTGTACCTCCTCCTGTCTCAGTGCCTTCCTCTGTGCTCCTCCTGTCTCAGTGTCTTCCTCTGTGCTCCTCCTGTCTCAGTGTCTTCCTCTGTGCTCCTCCTGTCTCAGTGCCTTCCTCTGTGCTCCTCCTGTCTCAGTGTCTTCCTCTGTGCTCCTCCTGTCTCAGTGTCTTCCTCTGTGCTCCTCCTGTCTCAGTGTCTTCCTCTCTGCTCCTCCTGTCTCAGTGTCTTCCTCTGTACCTCCTCCTGTCTCAGTGTCTTCCTCTGTACCTCCTCCTGTCTCAGTGCCTTCCTCTGTGCTCCTCCTGTCTCAGTGTCTTCCTCTGTACCCCTCAGACATGTATGTGAAGGATGTCCAGTCTGGGATCTGCTCCGTAGTCGGGGAGCCGCTGGTGGAGAAGGAGACTGTAGCCACGGCTCTGGTGGACGGTCAGAACCTTCTTGGTCCAGTCGTCGGAAACTTCTGCATGAAGCTGGCGCTGAAGAAGGCCAAGGAGGCGGGCATCGGCTGGGTGGTCGCCCGCGGTAACAGATACACATGTTTTTGCCCGCGGTAACGCACACACACATGTTTTTTGCCCGCGGTCACGCACACACACATTTTTGTGGCTGCTGTAACGCACACGCACATGTTTTTGCCCGCAGTAACGCACACAAACATATTTTTAGCCGCGGTAACGCACATACACATGTTTTTGCCTGCGGTACTCAGCTCCACTCCTCTCTCCACCATGGCCCCATGGATCCCTCTGTGGGAGGTGGGTCCACAAGAGGTGGGTTCACGTCTTCCTTTTGGGCTGAGCCCTGGGCCCTGTGGGCTCAGGCTCCAGGGTGGGGCTTGGGCTGCTGTGATCTATAATATATAATCTTTAATTATATCTATAATATGTATCTATAATATATAATCTATAGCTATAATCTATATCTATAATCTATAATCTCTGTGTCTTCAGGCTCCAATCACTATGGAATCGCAGGATACTACTCAATGCAAGCGCTGAAGGAGAACATGATTGTGAGTCTGTTGCTGCGGTATTGAGTAGGCTAACATGTACCTGTAGTCTAACATCCTGTACCTGTAGTCTAGCATCCTGTGCCTGTAGTATAACATCCTGTACCTGTAGTCTAAAATCCTGTACCTGTAGTATAACATCCTGTACCTGTAGTCTATCATCCTGTACCTGTAGTCTAACATGTAACTGTAGTCTATCATCCTGTACCTGTAGTCTATCATCCTGTACCTGTAGTCTAACATGTAACTGTAGTCTATCATCCTGCACCTGTAGTCTAACATGTACCTATAGTCTTTTATCCTGTACCTGTAGTCTAACATGTACCTGTTGTCCAACATCCTGTACCTGTAGTCTATCATCCTGTAGTCTAACATCCTGTACCTGTAGTCTAACATCCTGTACCTGTAGTCTAACACCTTGTACCTGTAGTCCAACATCTTGTACCTGTAGTCTAATGTTCTCATCCCTAGGGTATGTCGTTCACCAACACGTCTCCTCTGGTCGTTCCGACTCGTGGAAAAGAGGTTTGTCACATTTTCCTCAGATGAAGTTTATTATTACTATATTTAGTCTCAGCCTTTGGCCTTTGAGCCTGAACGTTGTGGGTTCGATTCCACCACGAGACCTTCTCCCCGACTCCCACTGATGTCTGCTGTCGTTGTGTCCTTGGGCAAGACACATAACCACATTTTGCCTGAAGCCCCCACTGAAAGATCAAGGCTGTGACAGCGCAGGCTCCTGTGGACTCACCTCCTGCAGGAGGAGCAGTGAGGAGCAGTGAAGAGCAATGAAGAGCAGTGAAGAGCAGTGAGGAGCAGGAGTAGCAGTGAGGAGCAGGAGTAGCAGTGAGGAGCAGGAGGAGCAGTGAGGAGCAAGAGAAGCAGTGATGAGCAGGAGGAGCAGTGAGGAGCAGGAGGAGCAGTGAGGAGCAGGAGAAGCAGTGAGGAGCAGGAGTAGCAGTGAGGAGCAGGAGGAGCAGTGAGGAGCAAGAGAAGCAGTGAGGAGCAGTGAGGAGCAGGAGGAGCAGTGAGGAGCAAGAAAAGCAGTGATGAGCAGGAGGAGCAGTGAGGAGCAGGAGGAGCAGTGAGGAGCAGGAGGAGCAGTGAGGAGCAGGAGAAGCAGTGAGGAGCAGGAGTAGCAGTGAGGAGCAGGAGGAGCAGTGAGGAGCAGGAGTAGCAGTGAGGAGCAGTGAGGAGCAGTGAAGAGCAGTGAGGAGTAAGAGGAGCAGTGAGGAGCAGTGAAGAGCAGTGAGAAGCAGGAGGAGCAGTGAGGAGCAGGAAGGAGCAGTGAAGAGCAGGAGGAGCAGTGAAGAGCAGTGAGGAGCAGGAGGAGCAGTGAGGAGCAGGAGTAGCAGTGAGGAGCAGTGAGGAGCAGTGAGGAGCAGGAGGAGCAGTGAGGAGCAGGAGGAGCAGTGAGGAGCAGGAGGAGCAGGAGGAGCAGTGAGGAGCAGTGAGGAGCAGGAGGAGCAGTGAAGAGCAGGAGTAGCTGTGAGGAGCAGTGAAGAGCAGTGAGGAGCAGTGAGGAGCAGGAGGAGCAGTAAAGGAGCAGAAGAAGTAACATCTGTAACATGTGTAACATCTGTGCAGTGCACTCTGGGCACTAATCCCATCAGTGTCGCGGCTCCTGCAAACAACGGAGACAGCTTCGTCCTGGACATGGCAACCTCTGCTGTGGCCCTGGGCAAGGTCTGTATGTGTGTAACATCTGTATGTGTGTAACATCTGTATGTGTGTGTAACATCTGTGTGTGTAACATCTGTGTATGTGTCACATCTGTATGTGTGTAACATCTGTATGTGTGTGTAACATCTGTATGTGTGTAACATCTGTATGTGTGTAACATCTGTGTGTGTAACATCTGTATGTGTGTAACATCTGTGTGTGTAACATCTGTATGTGTGTGTAACATCTGTGTGTGTAACATCTGTGTATGTGTCACATCTGTATGTGTGTAACATCTGTATGTGTGTGTAACATCTGTATGTGTGTAACATCTGTATGTGTGTAACATCTGTGTGTGTCACATCTGTATGTGTGTAACATCTGTGTGTGTAACATCTGTATGTGTGTAACATCTGTGTGTGTAACATCTGTATGTGTGTAACATCTGTGTGTGTAACATCTGTATGTGTGTAACATCTGTATGTGTTTGTAACATCTGTATGTGTGTAACATCTGTATGTGTGTAACATCTGTATGTGTGTAACATCTGTATGTGTGTCACATCTGTATGTGTGTCACATCTGTATGTGTGTAACATCTGCATGTGTGTCACATCTTTATGTGTGTAACATCTGTATGTGTGTCACATATGTATGTGTGTAACATCTGTATGTGTGTAACATCTGTGTGTGTAACATCTGTATGTGTGTAACATATGTGTGTGTAACATCTGTATGTGTGTAACATCTGTGTGTGTAACATCTTTATGTGTGTAACATCTGTGTGTGTAACATCTGTGTGTGTAACATATGTGTGTGTAACATCTGTATGTGTGTAACATCTGTGTGTGTAACATCTTTATGTGTGTAACATCTGTATGTGTGTAACATCTGTATGTGTGTAACATCTGTATGTGTGTAACATCTTTATGTGTGTAACATCTGTATGTGTGTAACATCTGTATGTGTGTAACATCTGTATGTGTGTAACATCTTTATGTGTGTAACATCTGTATGTGTGTAACATCTGTGTGTGTAACATCTGTATGTGTGTAACATCTGTATGTGTTTGTAACATCTGTATGTGTGTAACATCTGTATGTGTGTAACATCTGTATGTGTGTAACATCTGTATGTGTGTCACATCTGTATGTGTGTAACATCTGTATGTGTGTAACATCTGCATGTGTGTCACATCTTTATGTGTGTAACATCTGTATGTGTGTCACATATGTATGTGTGTAACATCTGTGTGTGTAACATCTGTGTGTGTAACATCTGTATGTGTGTAACATATGTGTGTGTAACATCTGTATGTGTGTAACATCTGTGTGTGTAACATCTTTATGTGTGTAACATCTGTGTGTGTAACATCTGTGTGTGTAACATCTGTATGTGTGTAACATCTGTGTGTGTAACATCTGTATGTGTGTAACATCTGTGTGTGTAACATCTGTATGTGTGTCACATCTGTATGTGTGTCACATCTGTATGTGTGTAACATCTGTGTGTGTAACATCTGTATGTGTGTAACATCTGTGTGTGTAACATCTGTATGTGTCTAACATCTGTATGTGTGTGTAACATCTGTATGTGTGTAACATCTGTATGTGTCTAACATCTGTATGTGTCTAACATCTGTATGTGTGTAACATCTGTATGTGTGTATAACATCTGTATGTGTGTAACATCTATATGTGTCTAACATCTGTATGTGTGTCACATCTGTATGTGTGTAACATCTGTATGTGTGTCACATCTGTATGTGTGTAACATCTGTATGTGTGTAACATCTGTATGTGTGTCACATCTGTATGTGTGTAACATCTGTATGTGTGTAACATCTGTATGTGTGTCACATCTGTATGTGTGTAACATCTGTATGTGTGTCACATCTGTATGTGTGTCACATCTGTATGTGTGTAACATCTGTATGTGTGTCACATCTGTATGTGTGTAACATCTGTATGTGTGTCACATCTGTATGTGTGTAACATCTGTATGTGTGTAACATCTGTATGTGTGTAACATCTGTGTGTGTAACATCTGTATTTGTGTAACATCTCTATGTGTAACATCTGTGTGTGTAACATCTGTGTATGTGTCACATCTGTATGTGTGTAACATCTGTGTGTGTAACATCTGTATGTGTGTCACATCTGTATGTGTGTAACATCTGTGTGTGTAACATCTGTGTATGTGTCACATCTGTATGTGTGTAACATCTGTGTGTCTAACATCTGTATGTGTGTAACATCTGTATGTGTCTAACATCTGTGTGTGTGTCACATCTGTATGTGTGTGTAACATCTGTATGTGTGTGTAACATCTGTATGTGTTTGTGTGTGTGTATGTCTGTGTGTGTGTGTGTGTGTGTGTGTGTGTGTGTGTGTGTGTGTGTGTGTGTGTGTGTGTGTGTGTGTGTGTGTGTGTGTGTGTGTGTGTGTGTTTCAGATTGAGCTCCATCACCGCAGAGGAGAAGAGATCCCGATTGGTTGGGGCCAAGACTCTGACGGGAAACTCACTCCGGATCCTTCTCAGGTCCTGAGCGGAGGAGGTCTGGTGCCAATCGGGGGCTGCGAGGCCACAGGTGAAACCAGTCTACAGGGTCTACAGCGTCAGTCCTGGTCTAGTCTCAGTCCTGGTCTACTGTCAGTCCTGGTCTAGTCTCAGTCCTGGTCTTTTCTCAGTCCTGGTCTAGTCTCAGTCCTGGTCTACATGTGTGTTGCAGGAGGGTATAAAGGGTACGGTCTGGGGATGATGGTGGAGGTCTTCTGTGGGGTCTTGGCCGGGGCTGAGTTCAGTAACAGAGTCCGGACCTGGAAAGTCACAGATAAAGAGGCCAACCTGGTACCACATGTTTATGTTCTTTATTATCTTTAAGTTAGAGATGGTATTTACTATAGAGTTGTTGATGATGTTATCTCTCTCTCTCTCACACTCTCTCTTCTCTCTCTCTCCTCTCTCCTCTCTCACTCTCACCTCTCTCTCTCCTCTCTCTCTCTCCTCTCTCTCGCTCTCCTCTCTCCTCTCTCTCTCTCTCCTCTCTCACTCTCCTCTCTCTCTCCTCTCTCTCTCTCCCCTCTCTCTCTCCTTCCTCTCTATCTCTCTCCTCTCTCACTCTCTCCTCTCACTCTCTTCTCTCGCTCTCTCTCCTCTCTCTCTCTCCCCTCTCTCTCTCCTTCCTCTCTATCTCTCTACTCTCTCACTCTCTCCTCTCACTCTCTTCTCTCGCTCTCTCTCCTCTCTCACTCTCTCCCTCTCTCCTCTTTCTCTCCTCTCTCTCTCTCTCTCTCTCCTCTCTCTCTCCTCTCTCTCTCCTCTTCTCACTCTCCTCTCTCTCTCACTCTCTCCCCCCCTCAGGGTCAGTGCTTCGTGGCCATAGACCCGTCAGCCTTTGCTCCTGGCTTCACAGACAGAATGTCTGAGCTGCTGTTGATCCAGAGGAACCTGGATCCTGTGAGTTCAACTTCAGAGACTGTTATAGATTAAAGCTGAGGTCTGTGACTTCTGCACTTTGAACGTAAACATGTTTGTGTGTCTGTGTGTGTGTGTGCGTGTGTGTGTCTGTCTGTGTGTGTGTGGGTGTGTGTGTCTGTGTGTGTGTGTTGCAGGCGGAGGCGGGGGCTCCGGTCTTGACTGCCGGAGACCCAGAGAGAGAAAACATTAGGAAGTGTGACAAGCTCGGAGGCATCCCCTACCACCTGAACGTGGTCACACACATGGTATACACACACACACACGGTGACAACACTCACACACACACACGCACACACACACATACACATACACACACACACACACATGGTGACAACACGCACACACACGGTGACAACACACACACACACACACACACAGATATCAAGTGTAATGTTTCAAATTTTCAAAACAACAAGATCTGAGGAGTTGGTGTCTCTCCAAACTACCCCTGCTGCTCCCTGCTGCCCCCTGCTGCCTCCTGGTGGCAGTGCACGCTCCTGTCACCTGGTGCAGTAAATGAAACAGGTTGTACTCATGGTCCTCCACAGTCTCCTCCATAAACCACATGTGACTGTAGAGGTCTGTGAGTTTGTGAGTAAGTAATCTTTATTTATATACCGCCTTTCACAGACCAGAGTCACAAAGCGGTTTACAATTGTTTTTATTTTTGGGCACTTGTTCTCTCACTCTACACAAAGATGGGAGCGGGGAACAGGAGGCGCATGCCAGACCTATTGTACATATTTTTAGTGGTAGGGGAAACCGGAGCACCCAGAGGTAAACCTACGCACACACAGGGAGAACATAAAAACTCCACTCAGAAAGGCCCTGGTCCGACCGGGTTTCGAACCCAGGACCTTCTTGCTGAAAGGCAAGAGTGCTATCCACTTAGCCACCGTGCCGCCCAAGGGCTCTGTAGGGTCTGTGACTGTAGGTCTGTGACTGTAGGGTCTGTGACTGTAGAGGTCTGTGACTGTAGGGTCTGTGACTGTAGGGTCTGTGACTGTAGGGTCTGTGACTGTAGGGTCTGTGACTGTAGGGTCTGTGACTGTAGGGTCTGTGACTGTAGAGGTCTGTGACTTTAGGGTCTGTGACTGTAGGGTCTGTGACTGTAGGGTCTGTGACTGTAGGGTCTGTGACTGTAGGGTCTGTGACTGTAGGTCTGTGACTGTAGGGTCTGTGACTGTAGGGTCTGTGACTGTAGAGGTCTGTGACTGTAGAGGTCTGTGACTGTAGAGGTCTGTGACTTTAGGGTCTGTGACTGTAGGGTCTGTGACTGTAGGGTCTGTGACTGTAGAGGTCTGTGACTGTAGGGTCTGTGACTGTAGAGGTCTGTGACTGTAGGGTCTGTGACTGTAGGGGTCTGTGACTGTAGGGTCTGTGACTGTAGGGTCTGTGACTGTAGGGTCTGTGACTGTAGGTCTGTGACTGTAGAGGTCTGTGACTGTAGAGGTCTGTGACTGTAGGGTCTGTGACTGTAGGGTCTGTGACTGTAGGGTCTGTGACTGTAGGGTCTGTGACTGTAGAGGTCTGTGACTTTAGGGTCTGTGACTGTAGGGTCTGTGACTGTAGGGTCTCTGACTGTAGGTCTGTGACTGTAGGGTCTGTGACTGTAGGTCTGTGACTGTAGGGTCTGTGACTGTAGGGTCTGTGACTGTAGAGGTCTGTGACTGTAGGGTCTGTGACTGTAGAGGTCTGTGACTGTAGAGGTCTGTGACTGTAGGGTCTGTGACTGTAGAGGTCTGTGACTGTAGAGGTCTGTGACTGTAGAGGTCTGTGACTGTAGGGTCTGTGACTGTAGGGTCTGTGACTGTAGGGTCTGTGACTGTAGAGGTCTGTGACTGTAGGGTCTGTGACTGTAGGGTCTGTGACTGTAGGGTCTGTGACTGTAGAGGTCTGTGACTGTAGGGTCTGTGACTGTAGGGTCTGTGACTGTAGGGTCTGTGACTGTAGGGTCTGTGACTGTAGGTCTGTGACTGTAGGGTCTGTGACTGCAGGGTCTGTGACTGTAGAGGTCTGTGACTGTAGGGTCTGTGACTGTAGGGTCTGTGACTGTAGGGTCTGTGACTGTAGGGTCTGTGACTGTAGGGTCTGTGACTGTAGAGGTCTGTGACTGTAGGGTCTGTGACTGTAGAGGTCTGTGACTGTAGGGTCTGTGACTGTAGGGTCTGTGACTGTAGAGGTCTGTGACTGTAGAGGTCTGTGACTGTAGAGGTCTGTGACTGTAGAGGTCTGTGACTGTAGGGTCTGTGACTGTAGGGTCTGTGACTGTAGGGTCTGTGGCTGTAGGGTCTGGGACTGTAGGGTCTGTGACTGTAGGGATTGTGACTGTAGAGGTCTGTGACTTTAGGGTCTGTGACTGTAGGGATTGTGACTGTAGAGGTCTGTGACTGTAGGGTCTGTGACTGTAGGGTCTGTGACTGTAGAGGTCTGTGGCTGTAGAGGTCTGTGGCTGTAGGGTCTGGGACTGTAGAGGTCTGTGACTGTAGAGGTCTGTGACTTTAGGGTCTGTGACTGTAGAGGTCTGTGACTGTAGGGTTTGTGACTGTAGGGTCTGTGACTGTAGGGTCTGTGACTGTAGAGGTCTGTGACTGTAGGGTCTGTGACTGTAGGGGTCTGTGACTGTAGGGTCTGTGACTGTAGGGTCTGTGACTGTAGGGTCTGTGACTGTAGAGGTCTGTGACTGTAGTGTCTGTGACTGTAGGGTCTGTGACTGTAGGTCTGTGACTGTAGGGTCTGTGACTGTAGGGTCTGTGACTGTAGAGGTCTGTGACTGTAGAGGTCTGTGACTGTAGGGTCTGTGACTGTAGGGTCTGTGACTGTAGGGTCTGTGACTGTAGGGTCTGTGACTGTAGGGTCTGTGACTGTAGGGTCTGTGACTGTAGAGGTCTGTGACTGTAGGGTCTGTGACTGTAGAGGTCTGTGACTGTAGAGGTCTGTGACTGTAGAGGTCTGTGACTGTAGGGTCTGTGACTGTAGAGGTCTGTGACTGTAGAGGTCTGTGACTGTAGGGTCTGTGACTGTAGGGTCTGTGACTGTAGAGGTCTGTGACTGTAGGGTCTGTGACTGTAGGGTCTGTGACTGTAGGGTCTGTGACTGTAGGGTCTGGGACTGTAGGGTCTGTAACTGTAGGGTCTGTGACTGTAGAGGGTCTGTGACTGTAGAGGTCTGTGACTGTAGGGTCTGTGACTGTAGAGGTCTGTGACTGTAGAGGTCTGTGACTGTAGAGGTCTGTGACTGTAGAGGTCTGTGACTGTAGGGTCTGTGACTGTAGAGGTCTGTGACTGTAGAGGTCTGTGACTGTAGGATCTGGGACTGTAGAGGTCTGTGACTGTAGGGTCTGTGACTGTAGGGTCTGTGACTGTAGGGTCTGTGACTGTAGGGTCTGGGACTGTAGGGTCTGTGACTGTAGGGTCTGTGACTTTAGGGTCTGTGACTGTAGAGGTCTGTGACTGTAGGGTCTGTGACTGTAGGGTCTGTGACTGTAGGGTCTGTGACTTTAGGGTCTGTGACTGTAGGGTCTGTGACTGTAGGGTCTGTGACTGTAGAGGTCTGTGACTGTAGGGTCTGTGACTGTAGGGTCTGTGACTTTAGGGTCTGTGACTGTAGAGGTCTGTGACTGTAGGGTCTGTGACTGTAGGGTCTGTGACTGTAGGGTCTGTGACTTTAGGGTCTGTGACTGTAGGGTCTGTGACTGTAGAGGTCTGTGACTGTAGAGGTCTGTGACTGTAGAGGTCTGTGACTGTAGAGGTCTGTGACTGTAGGGTCTGTGACTGTAGGGTCTGTGACTTTAGGGTCTGTGACTGTAGGGTCTGTGACTGTAGAGGTCTGTGACTGTAGGGGTCTGTGACTGTAGGGTCTGTAGGGGAGAGACACACACAGACAAACAGAGAGACAAACACACAGACACACAGAGAGACACACGTACACGCACACTCTCACACACACACACATACACGCAAACACACACACATACAGAGACACACACACACACAGACACACACACACACACAGCGACACACACACAGCAACACACACACACACACAGACACACTCACACACACACACACACAGCGACACACACACAGCAACACACACACGCACACGCGGAGCACTCAAACACGTCCTTCTAGTTCGCCATCTTGGCACCTCCGCTGCGAGACATGTTGATGTTTTCGTTTTGCCAACCAATTTCTCACTTCAGGACCTTAAAAGAACACATCTCTCAGCATTTCAACGTAGATGAGGAATTACTGCGATCTGTTTTGTTTGACTTGATAAACTTGATAAACGATAAAAACACAACACATTACTACATAATGTATAATATAAAATGTTTAATGGTGCATTCTGATCTTTACAGAGAATATTACAAACCTCTACACGATGTACAGAAACATTCTCTTCCTTCAGAACTACCAGCGACGGCCTGCTGCTGCACGTTCTCTGCGTCTCTCTCGCTCCTTGCGTCTCTCTCTCTCACGCTCTCTGCGTCTCTCTCTCTCACGTTCTCTGCGTCTCTCTCTCGCTCCTTGCGTCTCTCTCTCTCACGCTCTCTGCGTCTCTCTCTCTCACGTTCTCTGCGTCTCTCTCGCTCCTTGCGTCTCTCTCTCTCACGCTCTCTGCGTCTCTCTCTCTCACGTTCTCTGCGTCTCTCTCTCTCACGCTCTCTGCGTCTCTCTCTCTCACGTTCTCTGCGTCTCTCTCGCTCCTTGCGTCTCTCTCTCTCACGCTCTCTGCGTCTCTCTCTCTCACGCTCTCTGCGTCTCTCTCTCTCACGTTCTCTGCGTCTCTCTCGCTCCTTGCGTCTCTCTCTCTCACGCTCTCTGCGTCTCTCTCTCTCACGCTCTCTGCGTCTCTCTCTCTCTCGCTCCTTGCGTCTCTCTCTCTCACGCTCTCTGCGTCTCTCTCTCTCACGTTCTCTGCGTCTCTCTCGCTCCTTGCGTCTCTCTCTCTCACGCTCTCTGCGTCTCTCTCTCTCACGTTCTCTGCGTCTCTCTCCTCTCGCGTTCTCTGCGTCTCTCTCTCTCGCGTTCTCTGCGTCTCTCTCGCTCCTTGCGTCTCTCTCTCTCACGCTCTCTGCGTCTCTCACGCTCTCTGCGTCTCTCACGCTCTCTGCGTCTCTCTCGCTCCTTGCATCTCTCTCTCACCCTCCCTCCCTCCTCCCGTCTCTATCACCTGTGCTTCGCAAAGACACTTAGTTTGATGCGGAGCGGAGAGCCAGCCTCTAGAGCTGTTGTGGGATTTTTAATAATATGCTGGTTCTCTTATCTTTACAGTATATAATGTTTCTGGACGTTTTTGCATTGACGATTTAATGCTAATTTATTAGAATAATGATGGTAAATCTGACTGTTAAAGTCAGTGCCTCCCCAATCATAAACCTCACCGCACGTCCCTGGTCTAGCGTGTTGAGAGTCCAAAAAAGTGCTGTATAAAACATTTTTTACTGTCTATGTATATAACCGATGCAGTATTATTGTTTAATATATTATACACATATCTTCCCTCCTGGCAGCACTTCCCTTCATTATTCCAGCTCCTCCTCACCGCGGTAAAGTGGCCCGCATCTTTCAGCTCTATGAACATGCGGCCCGCATCGGGGAAAAGACGGTGCGCGTTTTGTTGGGAACTTACGGTAGCAGCGGAACATCCTTTCGGAGTCACCCATTTTTATCGAACAGAAAGTGCGCTGGGGTCTGGGAGACACGTGTTTGTGATTAAAACCTTATAGAGATGCCACCTGGTACACATATACGATTCCTCCTGCATGTTGTGAGTCCTCAGGAGGATAGCCGCTCTATTGTGTATTATTGTTTACATGTAAAAAGTATACAATTTGGTCCGCTAGTGCAATTTTCAACAGGTGTGCGACTAATTCCACTGGATTCATGACCTCATGATTGTCCTCTAACACTGTGCCAAAGACCAGAAACGTTTACTGTGGAAATGGAGAAATATTGAGATAAAGAACCCATTTTGGTCCAAAATACCTCAAATAATGTGCGAAAATAACCATTTTTGATCCACTGTAACTTTTTACTGTAAAAAGATGTGCGACTAATAGGGCACTGTCCGGTTTCCGAAATGTGCTAAAAATAGCTCAGATGACTGCGCATGCGCGCATGTTTCGGACAAACATTGTGTACGACTCGTTGAGTTCTACTGTGTTCTCCTCATACGCGTGTGTATTTACCCTGGCTAAATCATTGAATTATGGTGACAACAAAACACTGCAGTTATGGTGCTTGTCGGAGCGATTTCAGATACTCTGAAAAGGACTATATGAAAGTAACATTCAACCCGTTCGTTAAACCACAACATCGGACCAGATCAGGACCAGACCAGGACCAGATCAGACCAGGTGGGTGCTTGTGGTCGGCAGAATTTCTCTCATGAAAAGGTTAAAAAGGGCACATGTTTTTTCAAAACACTTCGCTGGACCAACTGTGGAGCCTCCAGATCCAGTCCTAGCTACGTTTAGCTGGGACTGGATCTGGACCGCTGTATCAGGTCCGTCTGAGCTCTTCTGAATGTAGTTAGCCCCATCAATCCATATTAGTATTGTTTGTCCTAATCCAGAAAGTATACAATTCTCACACCTGAAGAAAGATGAGAGGGATTTTTTTCAACTTTGTGTCTGCTTATTATACGGCTTTGTACCAATTGAACACACAAAATAAACGTCATTCACTATTCATGCCGAAAGGTTTATTTAATGAGTGCAAAGAAAATAGTTCCCAAAGGTTTTCCCGTGGCAGGCGAGTAACAGTGAGGATAGTTAACCTAAAAGCGATCGCTTTAGTCGCATTAAAAAAGTATTTTTGTCATGAAAACCTGAACAGTTAATTCTGAAAACCTCCGTGCACTTGTGTTATGAATGTGTATAATGTATTCTCCCATTAACATTTAAATGTGTTGATTGATTGTCATTTGCGTTTACTGAGTGTGGCTCTGATAGTTTCTCTCAGAGACAGTGGCGTAACCCGTTGTGATCATGGATTTATTATAATATCAGCTGACTGTAGCTAACTAATGATCAAACTAATTACAAAGTGGATAGTGCAAAAAACAACTTGATAAATGGAAGTTAATCACAGCAAAACAAACAAAGAAGGCGCTAGCATTGCAATTTAAATGACTAGATAATGTTAGCATAATCCTCACCATTATCTTTTTATCAATTCAAACCGTCTACCAGTTACTGGAAGACCACGACATTCAAGCCAACATTATAATTGGTCTACACTATGATCCCTGATGGTTTGATGGTGGAATTTTGCCCCTGGTATATCATTTTCGTCTAAAGTGACAAGTGGTATTTGATTCATTTCGGCAGTGTTTGTCCGAAACATGTGGGCGGGAGTTGACAGGCGGCGGGGGCGTGTCTTAGTGACGTCATTTAGATAGTTCGCTATTACACTAGTGCAGGGGTGCTCAATACGTCGATCGCGATCTACCAGTCGATCGCAAAGGTAGTATTGGTAGATCGCATTAAATAAATAAAAAATTACACATTCTAAACGAATATATACAAAAAACTCCGGGCAAAGTGGAGATTTTTGAAAACTCTGTTAATGCATTTGTGTGTAGACAGAGATAACCAGAGTTTTGCGTTCTCGCACGCCACAGTACCCCCCTAAATTCCTCTGATCACTGAAGCATGGATCATACTACCTTAAAAACTGTTCGCTGTGAGATGCTCGCAGCAGCGAACATCCTCGCTCCACATCAGAGAGCAGCAAAGTGATCGCGGGGACTCACGCTCGAAAACAACCAAACCAGGACTAAACCAGGACTAAACCAGGGCTGAGGACGGGGTCAGTGCTTGTAAACATACGTCTTTACTCTGAATGTCTTCTATGACTGTAAAAGTGCCGTTACCGGCGTCTGCATCAAAGCTCCGCCCACTTCTGTGTTTTTCCCCAACGCAGGACAGGACGTAAGAGACGCACATGTTTGGAATGTTACGAATGTGATTGATAACGCAGATGTGTGGATGCAAATTATTTTATAAACGGAGGAGGGGAAATATTTGGACTAAAAAAAAAACAGGCATGGCACATGGACATGGCACCACAGTAAAATGACATCTGTGTTTTACTCAGTAATGTTTTACTGACACTTAGGTGACTGCACATGTGCAAACAACCGCGCTCAGTGCAGGAAAGCAAAACCACGACAAACTTGTCAGCGAGTTACCACCAATTTTCCGGACTATGCATCTCTGGCCGATTCAATTCAGTGCAAGTCATCAGAGTAAACTCGGGTAATGACAAAAAATGTACATAGGTAATTGTGTTGTGCTATATTGGCTCATGCGGTTTTGCATGTACATAAACATACATTGTAGATAAGAATATTTTTTGAAATATATGATTTGCATTTTTGTAGTATAGGTAGATCATTTTGACTTGATCCTTTTATAAGTAGCTCGCATGCTGAAAAAGTGTGAGCACCCCTGCACTAGTGGATTCATGACCTCATGATTGTCCTCTACCACTGTGCCAAAGACCAGAAACTTCTACTGTGGAAATTTGGAAAAAATATTGATTCAAAGTACCCATTTTGGTCCTTAATACCTCAAAAATGGTAAAAACATGTCACTTTTGGTCTACTGTAAATTTTATTGTGGAAATTTTGAGAAATAAGTAGTCAAAGTACCCCCTTTAATTGGTAGCCTGGCCATAGCCATCCGTACACTCCGCTCAATCATCATTTCACTGCATGTAACGTCTGGGTCTGGTCCCTGTGTTAGCGAATACAATCGGTTGTATTTTGACCGGCCAATCAGAGAGCGCGGGAGGCGGGTGTTGTAGGTCGGTGCCGGTGACGTCAAGAGTTTGCGCCGAACGGGCAGGTTGTAGTTTGGCAATGGCGAAGAATGCGATAGTAAAGTAATCAGGTCTGGTTCTATCAAGAAATTGAAGCAGGAGCAAGAGGAATGTTTAGCAAATGTAAACGCTGGTCAAGATTGTGGCGCTACTCCCCAAAGGCTCCGTTAGCAGCAAAGGATATGGCTAAAGCTAGGCTAAATGCTAACAACACACTCAGGCGCACTACATACGTCACGGTAAACTCAGATCCAATCGTTTCAATCTGCAAAAGGAGTTAGCCCCTCCCACCTGTTCACGGAGCTCAATGGAGCAAATCCAGACCTTAGTATGAAATGTAATTTGTACTAAGTGTAACAGACCCAGGTCCTGGGCCTGTTTGAGCAGATTAATAAATGTTCCTGAAAAATACAGGATAAGGATGAGTCAGGCGGACACAGTGTTTCCTTTTGTCTTGCTTCAGCCATATTTATTAATACAATCATGTGTTTTCATCCTTCAACATTTACAAATGCTATTCACACAATCATGTATAATAATAATCACATTTTAATCATTTAATCATGTACAGTAAATGTCTAAATTACCCTTGACACTGTATCTAGTCAATTATATACTTTTTATCTATTTATTTTGTCTGTATTTAATATACATATATCATATCTTATTCATAATGTAGCTGTACTACTTTTTTAAACTACTTCTTATGTACCACTACTAGCTTAGCAGCTCCTGAGCTACGAATACTGGCTTTAACTTCAGCTGGAGACCTTTTTAACTGTAATCATTCAAACCTACAAACATTAACTTCAAATGTACACACAACAAACTATGTCAGGGCACGTAAAATTCAGTATCACTATCTAAATCGGAGCTTGAAAAATACAATACAAGATGGCGGTCGTTACTTCGCATTGACCAGTTCCTTGTCTTTTCCGTTACCACACAAAACTTGACAAAACTACAGAAAAATCTCATTTAAAACATTCTAACAGTTAGCTGTTAACGTTATAAGTATGTTCTGACCCATACATTGTGCTTGTGACATTAGTACGAACCTGAAAAATACAAGATAAGGCTGAGTCAGGCGGACACGGTGTTTCCTTCTTCAGCCATATTGGTGAAGGAGCGCCACTGACCTCATTACACCTGCTCACCATACGCCACCTGCTGGCTTCAGGGTGTTACTACAACGTAAACGTCCTTGTTATGAAAAAAGACTAATCTAAATACTAAATACAATTAAACATAATGTGACAACACATTACTGGGCGTCACACTCTCCCTGACAAATAAAAATGGCTCCTGACATTACAAAATACAAAAATCAAACACTTTACAACCCAAAATCTCAGTCAACATAACATGGGTGTGGCATAAGTCTGTGGGGCAAAAGTATAAGGCATATTGGGCACAAAACCAGCACCAAATGGAAAATAAGGTGTGGCTAACCATGGCTGATACAGCATGTACGGTGAGAGGGTGGAACCCATGGCTTGTGGTTGAAGGGTAGGTTCACCAAGTGATTGGTAGGTAAACACTTGCCTCGGTCTCCTTTCTCTATTTGACCTCCTTACTTCAGTCTGTAGGTCAACTGGTGTCTGTGGAAGTTCTGGAGGTATGAAAACATTACCTTCTTCACTTCCTTCTCCAGAGTGAGCTGGTGGGGCTGATACCACAGGGGCGGGGGTCACCTGTGGCACATGGCTGTCTCTTCCAGTCTGTAAGTGTCCTTCTGGCGCACTGGTTCCATCACTGTCTCTTACTGACAACAGAAAGCGGTTACTCGTGTTCTCAGGGGCTTGGCTTGTCTGGGGCAAGTCCAGGCTGGCTAAAGTCAGTACCCCTGCCTACTTGACCAGTCGGCCTAAGAGAAAACCTCAACCAATAACCCCCTGTATTCTCGTCAGAGTCTGAGTCGCTAGAGTTACTGTTATGCATGTCTTTTCTACTAGACTTTTTCTGTCTCGTCTGTCTTTTGGATGTGGGTTCGGGCCTAATAGGCGGGGTTTCTACTGGGAGATCATTAACCAGTAACAAGAGGTTACGATGGAGGACTCTAGTCTTACTCCCATCACTATTCTCATGGTAAACTGCATATACCGGGTTGTCACCTACTTGTTCTTTAACCAAATAAATGTTTCTCTCCCAGAAAGAACGTAATTTCCCCGGCCCCCTCGTTCACTAAAGTTTCTAACGAGGACTCTATCTCCAGGCTGCAATACAACACTTTTTAACTTTTTGTCATAGTAGGACTTGCTTCTGGCACTAGACTGTTTACTTTTCTCACTGGCTATCTTGTACGCCTCTGTCATTTTTGTAGCCCACTTATCTGCATAGCTCTTGTGTGACACTGTCTGTTTGTCCCCAACTAAACCAAATAAACAGTCAACTGGGAGACGTGGGTGGTGTCCATAAAGCAAAAAGTAAGGGGAAAACCCTGTGGATTCATGCCGCGTACAATTGTAAGCGTGAACTACATGTTGTAAATGATCTTTCCAGTGTTCCTTCTGCTTCTCACCTAATGTCCTTAAAGGAATAGTTCACCGTTTGTACATACTGACATATGTTCTTACCTTACCTTAGACTAGTTAATACGTACCTGTCTGGTCTTAGTCCGTGCGCTCTGTCATGCAAACGGAGCAAAAACGGGAGCACAACCGCAGCCTCCTCTGTATACTGTATAGTACCCAAAAGGTAGCTCCCGCTAGAAGCTACCAAACTCTTCCAAGTGTTCCCTATTAAATGTATATAGTTACGTGACGTGTTACACTGCAAAGTATAGTAACACAGAAATGTAACAGTCGATTTTCTCAGCGGATAAAACGGGTACTATATTGTGAGGCGTAGTAATCTGAGGTGCGCTACGTCCGCGCACTAACTTCTCTCCGGAGACTTCTCTCTCGCTCACTTCCGTCAATAGAAGCAGCGTGACTTGTAATACACACAGTAGCAGCGAGAGAGAAGTCTCTGGAGAGAAGTTAGTGCGCGGACGTAGCGCTCCTAACTTCTCTGCGCACTAACTTCTCTCCAGAGACTTCTCTCTCGCTGCTACTGTGTGTATTACAAGTCACGCTGCTTCTATTGACGGAAGTGAGCGAGAGAGAAGTCTCCGGAGAGAAGTTAGTGCGCGGACGTAGCGCACCTCAGATTACTACGCCTCATCAATATAGTACCCGTTTTATCCGCTGAGAAAATCGACTGTTACATTTCTGTGTTACTATACTTTGCAGTGTAACACGTCACGTAACTATATACATTTAATAGGGAACACTTGGAAGAGTTTGGTAGCTTCTAGCGGGAGCTACCTTTTGGGTACTATACAGTATACAGAGGAGGCTGCGGTTGTGCTCCCGTTTTTGCTCCGTTTGCATGACAGAGCGCACGGACTAAGACCAGACAGGTACGTATTAACTAGTCTAAGGTAAGGTAAGAACATATGTCAGTATGTACAAACGGTGAACTATTCCTTTAAGTACCCCTCTCCTCCCCCCTCTCCTCCCCCTTCTCCTCCCCTCTCTACTACCCCCACTCACCCCTCTTCTCCCCATTCTCCTCCCCTCTCTACTCCCCCCTCTCCTCCCCCCTCTCCTTCCACTCCCCCCTCTCCTCCCCCTTTTCCCCTTCTCCTCCTCCCCCTCTCCTCCTCCTACTCGTCTGTCCATCAGCAGCTGACACCTCCTCAGACCCTCGGATGAAATGATATTGGAGAGAAGTGCAGTCTGTCACATTCATGGACAGCTCTCCGACTGGAGGGGGGAGGAGGGAGGAGGGAGGGGGGGGGGGGGGGGGGGGGGGTTTATGTTTGTTCTGTGTCAAAATGAAGTCTTTTCAGTTCAATTAAATTCGATATATTTTCTCTGAGGACTTTCAGACAAAACTGGATTTCTCCGACACAGATCAGAGAATCACAGTCCAAGGAGCAGAGGCCAATGTCCATAATTGTTGATAAAGTCATAAATGTGGTTGAAAGTCGAGTGTCGTGGAAGTTTTGGTGAACCCAAGATTGAGATTTAATTTTCACAAAAACAAGGAGGAAAAGCATGGTGACTTAAAGCACCGGTACACACTTTTTTATTTTATTCTTTCACTGTTTTTGTCTCAAAAAAGCAACAAAACTTGATTATAAAAATGTCAAAAACCAGACACTGAGAGGGCAGCAGTAAGACGAGGAGGCAGCGTTTCAGATTGATACAGTCTTCCTGAAAATGTGAGACAGGCCTCTTCTCTCCCTGGTGCACTCTGGGGGACTCTTGCACAGTTTTTCCAATGTGGTTTTACTGCAAATGTTCAAATCCAGGTTAAAAACACTTATATACAGGTGCGGCTCATACACAGGTGCGGCTTATACACAGGTGCGGCTTATACACAGGTGCTACTTATACACAGGTGCGGCTCATACACAGGTGCGGCTTATACACAGGTGCTACTTATACACAGATGTGTCTTATACACAGGTGCTGCTTACACACAGGTGCTGCTTATACACAGGTGCGGCTTGCGGCTTATACACAGGTGCGGTTTATACACAGGTGCGGCCAATACACAGGTGCGGCTTATACACAGGTGCGGTTTATACACAGTTGCTGCTTATACACAGGTGCGGTTTATACACAGGTGCGGCTTGCGGCTTATACACAGGTGCGGTTTATACACAAGTGCGTCCAATACACAGGTGTAATTTATACACGTGTGCGGTTTATACACAGGTGCGGCCAATACACAGGTGCGGCTTATACACAAGTGCGGTTTATACACAGTTGCTGCTTATACACAAGTGCGTCCAATCACAGGTATGGCTTATACACAGGTGTGGTTTATACACAGGTGTGGTTTATACACAGGTGCGACTTGTAGTCCAGACAGTACAGTAAACATTTGTACCTGACTCTCTGCTTTAATGGTAACTTCATTTTAGATCAGTTCAATTCATCGTCCTAAATCACAAAGTTGTTAATTCTCCAACAGCAGATGTGAGAAGCATCCACAGTAGGTTCCACAGTAGGTTCCACAGTAGGTTCCACAGTAGGTTCCACAGTAGGTTCCACAGTAGGTTCCACAGTAGGTTCCACAGTAGGTTCCACAGTAGGTTCCCAGGCTTTACCCTTGGGCCCCCACCTTTCCGACTCACACACCCATAAAACACGACCGGACCATATTTTTTTAACAGCAGGAGTTTGTTAGCGTGTGTGTGTTAGCGTGTGTTTGTTAGCGTGTGTTAGCGTGTGTGTGTTAGCGTGTGTGTGTTAGCGTGTGTTTGTTAGCGTGTGTTTGTTAGCGTGTGTTAGCGTGTCTGTGTTAGGGTGTGTTTGTTAGCGTGTGTGTGTTAGCGTGTGTTTGTTAGCGTGTGTTTGTTAGCGTGTGTTAGCGTGTGTGTGTTAGCGTGTGTTAGCGTGTCTGTGTTAGGGTGTGTTTGTTAGCGTATGTTTGTTAGCGTGTGTTTGTTAGCGTGTGTTAGCGTGTCTGTGTTAGCGTGTGTTTGTTAACGTGCGTGTGTTAGCGTGTGTGTGTTAGCGTGTGTGTTATGAGTGGTGTTTCCCAGAGTGTGGAGACTGGTCTCTATCCAGACTGTGACAGAGACTGAGACCTCCAGACTGTGATGACTCCGGTTGCCTCGACTTCAGCCTCACCCACAGACCGGATTATAGATTGGTAAAGAGAGGATCTGGCAGCCCAGACCCTGTTCTCCCCCAGTGCTCCCCCAGTGCTCCCCCAGTGCTCCCCCAGTCCTCCCCCAGTGCTCCCCCAGTGCTCCCCCAGTGCTCCCCCAGTGCTCCCCCAGTGCTCCCCCAGTGCTCCCCCAGTCCTCCCCCAGTGCTCCCCCAGTGCTCCCCCAGTGCTCCCCCAGTGCTCCCCCAGTCCTCCCCCAGTGCTCCCCCAGTGCTCCCCCAGTGCTCCCCCAGTGCTCCCCCAGTCCTCCCCCAGTCCTCCCCCAGTGCTCCCCCAGTCCTCCCCCAGTCCTCCCCAGTCCTCCCCCAGTGCTCCCCCAGTGCTCCCCCAGTGCTCCCCCAGTCCTCCCCCAGTCCTCCCCCAGTGCTCCCCCAGTCCTCCCCCAGTGCTCCCCCAGTGCTCCCCCAGTGCTCCCCCAGTCCTCCCCCAGTCCTCCCCAGTGCTCCCCCAGTGCTCCCCCAGTCCTCCCCCAGTGCTCCCCCAGTCCTCCCCCAGTGCTCCCCCAGTCCTCCCCCAGTGCTCTCACCCCCAGTGCTCCCCCAGTCCTCCCCCAGTCCTCCCCCAGTGCTCCCCCAGTCCTCCCCCAGTCCTCCCCCAGTGCTCCCCCAGTCCTCCCCCAGTGTCTCCCCCAGTGCTCCCCCAGTCCTCCCCCAGTGCTCCCCCAGTGCTCCCCAGCTCCCCCAGTCCTCCCCAGTCTCCCCCAGTCCTCCCCCAGTGCTCCCCCAGTGCTCCCCCAGTCCTCCCCCAGTGCTCCCCCAGTGCTCCCCCAGTGCTCCCCCAGTCCTCCCCCAGTGCTCCCCCAGTCCTCCCCCAGTGCTCCCCCAGTGCTCCCCCAGTCCTCCCCCAGTGCTCCCCCAGTGCTCCCCCAGTCCTCCCCCAGTGCTCCCCCAGTGCTCCCCCAGTGCTCCCCCAGTCCTCCCCCAGTGCTCCCCCAGTCCTCCCCCAGTCCTCCCCCAGTGCTCCCCCAGTGCTCCCCCAGTGCTCCCCCAGTCTACCCCCAGAGCTCCCCCAGTCCTCCTCCTCTACTCCCCCAGTCCCCCTCCTGTCCTCCCCCAGAGCTCCCCCAGTCCTCCTCCTGTCCTCCCCCAGAGCTCCCCCAGTCCTCCTCCTGTCCTCCCCCAGAGCACCCCCAGCCCTCCTCCACTCCTGGTTCTGATAGCCCCCCCCCCCCCCCCCCCCCCCGTGCCTCCTGGGTAATGGAGGCCCTCAGGGTAAGCAGCAGATCCATGGCCCCTAATAGAAGCAAAGCGTGACGATCCGTGTGTGTGTAGCCATGTTAGCTAGCTCTGCGTGTCTCCTGGATGTTGTGTAGCCTGAAGTGTGTCTGTGTGTCAGCTCTGCTTTGTGTGTGTGTGTGTGTGTGTGTATAGTTGTGTTGGCAGAGGTTGAACACACACAGGAGGAGCCAGACTGGCACGACCCCGGGATAATGAGGCTCGGGTTGGATTGTTGATTAAGGATTATTGTACGGCTTCTGTTCTGCACTCGGCCCGTACGGAGGCCCATACGGAGGCCCCCGGGGGACATTTCCAAACCTTAAAGTGGAAAGTTTAGAAACTGAGGTCGTGTTTGCAGAGTTTTAAAGACGGTAAAGATTGAAATAAGATCCTGGACTTCGTACTTCCAGAGTCTAAGTTCTCCTACTCTTTCCAACTAAAATACGTTTGCAGCCGTCGTGAGGGACAGAGAGAAGGGTTGGATTCCACCTCCAGGCCTTTCTGTGTGCATAGGTTTCCTCCAGGTGCTCCGGTTTCCCCTACCCTTAAAAACATGTACAAGTGTGTCTCCTGTAGAAAACTCTCTTCATTTTTTGTTTTGTTTTCCATGTGTTCTGCTTTCTATGGATTTGGTCAAAAGGTACACGGAGGAGCACAGGGACTGGCCCCTGTCGGTCCCAGCAGGGGGCCAGTCCCTGTGCTCCTCATGGCCACAGACAGAGCGTGGTTATGAGGCGAGTCCAGAGGAAATCCACATAAAAACATAAATAAACTCATGTGTTATTTTTGGCCGAGCGTCATGTTTGAGGATCCAGGCGTGTATTTGTTTTGCCGCTTGGGGCGACGCAGCGTCACCACGGCAACGTTGGGCTGTTTTTCCATTGGCCCAAAAGGGACGACTGTTTCAGGATCAAGGAGCCAATCAGAACGTAGAGCTGCTCAGGTGTGAATATAAATCTGTGTTTAACAGGACTCATGACGGACAGTTCAACCTGAGAGGATTTACACAACACTGGGATCTTTATGTGCCAGACCAGCGCTAAGCTAACATGCTAACACAGAGGCCTGATGTTATGTGCCAGACCAGCGCTAAGCTAACATGCTAACACAGAGGCCTGATGTTATGTGCCAGACCAGCGCTAAGGTGGAGGTCTCTATCACCGTCTGAGGTCTCTGTCTCAGTCTGAGGTCTCTGTCTCAGTCTGAGGTCTCTATCACAGTCTGAGGTCTCTATCACAGTCTGGGGTCTCTGTCTCAGTCTGGGGTCTCTGTCTCAGTCTGGGGTCTCAATCACAGTCTGGGGTCTCTGTCTCAGTCTGGGGTCTCTGTCTCAGTCTGGGGTCTCTGTCTCAGTCTGAGGTCTCTATCACAGTCTGAGGTCTCTATCACAGTCTGGGGTCTCTGTCTCAGTCTGGGGTCTCTGTCTCAGTCTGGGGTCTCTGTCTCAGTCTGGGGTCTCTATCACAGTCTGGGGTCTCTGTCTCAGTCTGGGGTCTCTGTCTCAGTCTGGGGTCTCTGTCTCAGTCTGGGGTCTCTGTCTCAGTCTGGGGTCTCTATCACAGTCCATAGACGTCGGAACTAGGGGTGCGGGGGGTGCGGCCGCACCCCCTCCGCGTGTGCCGGGAGCGAGAAGTTATCACTATCCTGCGTTCCTTGCAGCCCAAAACCCGCTCCATGCTGTCGGAGAAGCTTATGAAGCTCTGTCTGGCTAATATCTGTCGCAGCCTCTGAGCGCTCTTTCTCAGCCTCAGATTAGAGACCTGGCTACACCAGTGACGTGCGGTGGGGGATCAATCATGTGTTCATATGATTATACATCATATAAACCAACAGGACCTACAGGAACAGGAGCGGCTTATACACAATTTGTTTGGCTACAGCAGAATATGATTTAATGTCTGCATTGTTTTCTCATACAAAACGCAAACGTTTGTAAAAAGTACAAAGTGTGTTATGGGCCTTACCTTAGGTATTAATGAACAGCACAGACCACTTCAGTTAGGACCAGTTTCATGTTTAAGTCCAGATAATAGTTTGAGCACAGACATGTAATCCTCCATTTGGAAATAAGTTCAATGAGTTTTAAAAAGTAAAAAAAACAGGTGTCTCCTCCGTAAACTCCGAGTTTTGCTGCAGCCGACTCCCGGGTAAATCCAATTTCTAAATTCAACCTTACCCTTCACCTCCTTTTCTTATGATTCATATCATCATTGGAAGCAAAACATTACTCTAAGTGCATTTTAAATTATCTTAAAATGTATTATAGGTATGTTAGCCAAACCTGTAGCTGCCCTTAGCAGAAGAAGAACAAGAAAGGAGCTTTCTGATGGAATTGGATGCAGCCAAAGTTTGGGCTCACAAGCGCCCCCTTGAGGCTTTCCTCACTTACAAGCAGTGGTTGAGCGCGATTAAGACCCATATTTGCTTCAAAAACACAATTTATGAGCCATCCTCTTAAATGTAAACATGTTGATTGTAAATTAAATATTTTTGGACTTTTTAAACTGTGATAAACAGAGAAAACAGTTTGATAGCACCTCACAGGACTCTCCCTGTGAGCTGTTGCTTTTTACGTCTCCCAAGAGAGGCTCGCCTCACAGCACCGCTCTGTCAAATCTGCGATTTCAAAGTATAAATAAATGAAATAAGGCACAGCACAAATCACTTGATAAAGTGACCAAACATTATTGTATCCATTTTATTACTTTTCTTTCTATGATCTTAGGTGAGGGCCTTGCCTGCCTCATCTGACCGCACGTCACTGGGCTACACAACACAATGAAGCCACCGGAGAGACTGACGCATGAATGCGTATTGAAAAAAAAAAAGTTCAGTTTGATAAGTGACTCGCTTGATATATATTGTTTATTTTGTTTTTCTTAACAATTAAGATGGTATGTTATTATCCAGTGTAATCCAAGTATGAGTCTCTCCCTCGACTCTCCCAACAAAAACCCGCCCCCCCTCTCAGAAAATAGTTCCGACGTCCATGTCACAGTCCACAGAAACCAGAGTAAATGCAGTGGTTTGAAACGATCCGTAGCTTCTTCAAACCTCGACAGTTTGTTTTTTGCTGCAGAAAGTTTAGTGGAAAATAAAATGATTCTTTAATCTGTGGCTCGGAAAGAACTCTGTGTTCACCAAAAACATGTTTCTCTGAGTCTGACTTCACCAAAAACATGTTTCTCTGAGTCTGACGAGGATCCAACCAAGATCTAACGGTTCATTTACATCCACACACTTTATGTTCTTTATAATGGTGGGTTTTTAGACAGGACTTGGACTTTAAGGGACTTTAAGGACGAAGGACAGAAGGACAGGTTCATATGAATCAAAACAAAAATCTTGTGAACAAAACTTTCAACTTGAGAGAAAAAAGATCAGCTGTCAATCATCCACAGAGGGCGTGTCCTGAGACTTCATATTTGCAGATTTCAGCAGAATAAAATAATAAATGAGATCAGGACTGGGATCACCTCCTCACTGTTTTCCTTCTTAAATCAATCATAATTTCTGGAGAAGCAGCAGGGAGCAGCCGAAAGGTCTGTGTGAGATCTCTTCTGTAGCAGCAGGGAGCAGCCGAAAGGTCTGTGTGAGATATTTGGCTAACCTCCTGAGCTGCTGTGTGGCTTCCTGATCCTGAATGTGTATTTAAACACGTACGATTGTGTGACATCACCTGTGGCCGTGGGTGAAGTCTGCCTGAAACTTAAAGCGACCCTCCTCCTCCACAACAAGTCTGAAATATGTCAGTCCTGGATCTACAGCCTCATTCCCGGGTCTACAGCCTCAGTCCCGGGTCTGCAGCCTCAGTCCTGGATCTACAGCCTCAGTCCTGGGTCTACAGCTTCAGTCCTGGGTCTACAGCCTCAGTCCTGGGTCTACAGCCTCAGTCCTGGATCTACAGCCTCAGTCCTGGGTCTACAGCCTCAGTCCTGGGTCTACAGCTTCCTGCTTTTGCTGA